ATATAATATATATAAATATATATATATATATATATATATATATATATATATATATTATATATATATATATATATATAGGTGAAATATATATATATATATATATAATATATAATATATGTATATATATGGAAAAAATATATATATATTTATAAACATATAAGGGAAATATATATATATATATATATATATATAAATATATAATATATATATATATATATATATATATATATATTTATTGAATTTAATTATAACAGAAGAAAAAAATAAATTCAAATGAATTCATATATAATATGGAAAATATCTACTCTTTTCTTGAAGAAGGTCCGAAAACCAAAATAAGAAAAGCAGGGATTATGTAAAATAAAAGTATAATATATATTTTAAAATAAAAATCAACATTTCAACCAAAAACGTTTAGGTTTATCTTCTTATATACATTTTTTTCTCTCATTGAAACAAAATTTTCTTTCGCTTTTCGATGGGGAAAATGTATATATGTTATTAAATAAATAAATTATTATTAATAAATAAATTATAGCTCGAAGCATATTTTTATAAGCCTCAGCACTTAATGTGCGATATTTTATATTTATATATATATATATATATATATATATATATATATATATATATATATATATATATATATTTGATTAAAGGCCAATGGAAGTTCTTTGTAAATTGTTTTTTATATCTTTTCCTATATTTTGGGTTCTCAGGATATATTAAAAAAGAGAGAACATAACGTAGACGAATACGCTCAAACTTTATAATTGAACATTGATGCAAATCCCACCACCAATAACCCCCACACACATATATATATATTTATATATATATATATTACTGCTGATGGAAGACACTTCGTTAAGACGAATCGAGTTCTCCAGTCACTGGCGTGCTGATCTAAAAATATATACATCTAAATTCACTTTCATCCTTACCCTGCGCCAATGGCTTAGGTACCAAACCAGTCAGGTTTCGATCCAGGCTTGAGTCAATCGTATGTCTAACCACACTGATGAGCTGTGAAACAGCGAAGCTGTCTGTCTTTGGATGACAATATATATATATATATTGACAGCAAGGGCGGCCTATCATTGTTGTTTCGTCCGTGTGTTGTTTGATATATTGAAATTGGCATCTTTGATAATTGCTTATGTAAGCCGAAAGCTTAGATTGGATTTAAACATGTATCAATATGGTGATTTCCTTTCGTCTTTCAATGATAATGTTATTAAGATTATCAGACAATATGAAAGGAACTTACTTAAAATAAATAGACAAAAGTTGTCTATATTATTTAATGAAACATCCATTAATATATATATATATATATATATATATATATATATATATATATATATATAAGATGATACAGTAATATACAATTCAGTTCGTAACGTGTTTTTGATGTAATATTCAAAATTAAGAATAAAAAAATGTGTGTATATATATATATATATATATATATATATATATATATATATATATATATATATATGAAAACCGTTATTTACATATACTGGATTTAACAACAAAATCGTGTAACGGCAAAGCTGACCAATTGTTAGGTTAATCTCTGAAACGTTTCTCTTAGAAATGATTAAAGATATCTTACTGGAATTCTCAGAGGTTGATATAACACTACTGGTCTCTACTTTGAGCAATAAGAATGTATAATTACTCTCTAATCCTTACATAAGTACCGTGGTACCTGAAATTTCTCTCTCACGTGCTAAACAACTTATGGATTGGGTTGGATCTTTTCTAATTGATCTCTTTATCTCTAAGTTGAAATGATGATCCCTCTTCCTGTTGTGACATCCTGATCCAGGTTTCCTCTCTATTGTTCCGTCTTTTTTTAAACTTATTCACTGTTCTCTTGATGGTTCTTGAATGGACTTTGGAGATGGAAGCCAGAACATGAATGTTGGAATCATTACTGAAGACGGGAATGATCTTTTTCCTCTAACCATTAAGAAAGTTCTGAACAAGAATGGATAACCGCTAGGTATATACCTGCTGGAGAGCAACATATCGACAATGCGACAATTTTGTAACTCTAGACTGATCGAACCCCAGAAAGGCGACGTAGCTTTCCTCTGTTTTTTCTACAAATATTTTCATAGCAACTCCTCTGACGAGATTTATTTCATGGTGCCGGACTGTAGTTTTATTGTTGAAATAGCTAAATGCAACCGCTACTTCTACGCCAACAGTTTCTTTTCTCGCACTTCCCACCTGTGAAACTCCCTTCCGGTTCTTTTCTTCCCTGATAACTACAATCTTCAAAAATTTAAATGCAACGTCAATCTCCATCTTCTGTCTTCTTGAATCTTGTCATCTTTTGTTCTTTCCCCAATTCTCCCTATACCCAGTCTTTTCCCTCATTTTTCACTCCTGGTAACCCCCTGCGTACTAGTGGGGGTGAAATGACTAAAAAAAACATAATTTCTCCAAATCCCTGTTCTGCCAATAATATATACAAGCTGGCTTGGTAGACTATGCTCTCTCTTTCTCTGTCCCTCTTGCCTTTAATATAACCTGTTAGTGTCATACTCTCCGTGCCCTCTTTCCGCATTATATTAGGGAAAATATTGAAAGATCTACATAAACTAAATTATTTTAAGCAATCATATAATGATTCACCCCATCTTTGTTTCTCTCTCTCTCTCTCTCTCTCTCTCTCTCTCTCTCTCTCTTGCACGCGCGCATGCACACTCTCACATATACACACAAATACAGATGATAAATATTTCCTTATACTACAGACATTATATTTAGGTAAATTAATAAAAGTCTGTAGCTTAAGAAAAAATTACTTACTTTTCAACATGGTCGCTTCCTTGTCGAAGCCGTCTTTCCATTACTCACATAGATCAAGCACCACAAAATAAAAATTTCAGATAAAAAAAATACTTAAGGATTCACCCCCAACCTTTGTTTCTCTCCCGCGGGCGTGCGCATGCACACTCACACATACACACACACACATACAGATGATAAATATTTCCTTATACTACAGACATTATATTTAGTAAATACATTTACTGAGTACATTTGTTTGCGCAGATAGCTCTAAAACAAAACATGGAAATTAACGTCTACCGGTTTAGAGTTTGAAAGTCTTAATAAAGAAAATTCACCTCCCAACATGCAACGAAGCTGTACTTGTAATGGAAATCATTTACAATCCAAATGTGCTTTACAATTAAGACACGAGAAACTATTGCAAGCAATTATCTTACTTAAAAACTGCAGATCCGTCTTCAGGACATTTTGAAATTTATATCTGATAACTTTGTTTTCGCTCCCAAATCATAAACTAAAATATTTTAAGCAATCATATTAATAATGTCGGTGAACATTTGATTTCAAAGCAATTTACAAATAGACATTTCATAGGTCAATTCAAAATTCAAAAGAATTTCCATGAGTTTCTGTCAAACAAGTACAAATATTTTAGTAATAAAATGAAGAAATATTGAAAGATCTACAGACGTATATCCCCGGCATGGAGCAATAGTCATTAAGCAGATTATTATTACTCAGCCACTTCTACTCCTACAGTCTAGATTGGCATTTAGGCCCCACCTTTTTACTGTTGCAACCGCCATTTCTACTCCAACGTGATATCGAGCTTTTCGCTTGACATAGCAAAAGTGACAAGCAAAGCCGTCCAACACCACAAAAGTGGTGATGAGGATTCGCAAGGAATCAAAAAAGTATTTATAGAAAAGACACATGGAAGCTATGTGACAAAGATTGGAAAGAGACTAAATCCGAGTCACCAGGTCAGGATCAGTAATATTGCTGATACTTCTTTGGATTTTGCCAAGAATCTCTAAATATATAGCAGAAGAATCAGACCAGATGTGACAGCAATATTCAATGCAAGGATGAATGGTAGACTTATAAATATGTAAGATAGATACTTCTTTTGATTTTATCAAGAATATCTAAATATATAGCAGAAGCACCAGACCGGATGAGGCAGCAATATTCAAAGCAAGGATGAATGGTAGATTTATAAATATGTAAGATAGATTCTTCTTTGGATTTTATCAAGAATCTCTAAATATATAGCAGAAGCACCAGACCAGATGTGGCAGAAATATTCAAAGCAAGGATGAATGGTAGACATATAAATATGTAAGATAGATTCTTCTTTGGATCTTATTAAAATAAACAGGATTGGATCAGGCTTAAATTTGTCCAGAAATACCATAACGTTTAACCTGTGAAAAGGACCAGCGTGAAAAAGACCAGTCAGAACTCTTCGAGAAATCCAAAGCAGCCGCTAGAGCTTCACCATTCTTATCTAAAGCTTGGTAATCTCTTCCAGCAATAACTGTTAATACTTCATCAATTGATCTGAAGAAGAGAAAGCCATATTGGTTATCTGAAATTAGACTCTGTGAGGTGAGAAGCGTTATTTAGAGCTTTATGTACTTTGCCAAAAATAGGTAGAAAACTAATAAGCCAGTCGAGAACAGGATTAGATATTTCACCTGAGTTCTCAAAGACAGGAACCGCAGAAGAGGATTTCTAACAAGCAGGAAATCCAGAAGCAACAAGGTATTTAGTGTAGATTTTAGAGAGAGCAGGAGCCAGTTTAGAAGCATACTGAGGGCTATTGCAGGGATACCAACAAGTCCACATGTTCCGAGGAGATCCAATTTAGAGATGATATCAGAAACCATGAACGAGGTTATATGCATATCACACTACAGAGACTCGGTTCTAAATTAGGCAAAGATACTGCAGGTGAGTCAAGAGTAGAATTTGAGGAGAACGGTTACAACATTTAGCTTAATCAGTAGATGTTAACACCTCAAATTGATTGAAGAGAAGAGGAATAGAAAACTTACAAGCAATTACTCTTGGGAAAGTTATGGATCCATATCTCATCTCCCCTAGCTATGGATTAAATAGCTGCACAGTCTTGGCTGGCAGCTATTCTAGGAATGATTATTCGATAAAATCTCCGAGCAGACCTAGGTCTTTCGAGGGGATGCATCGGCCCATGAAAACGTAGAGTTGTGGAAGTGGTGTATTCTGATACAGGCGAAGAAAGTTTATACATTTTTTTTAATTTATACAATTACATTTTACGTCTCTGTGCAGGCATATCATTTTGGAGTATGCGCGCGCACACACACACAAACTCATCACCCACCCCACACACATACATATTTATTTATTTATTTATTTATTTATGTAATAAAGTTTCAGTGGGGAGAGGTTTCTATTTTGTGTAGTAAGATTAGTCGGGACTTATTTTGTACTTGCGGCCTTTTTCAAGTTTCTCAATTGAAATTCTATTCCTGGCCGCCCAAATTGTTCGTAAACCCGAAGAGGAAAGAATTTCTTTTCAACATCACTGGAAAGTTTGAAGGTTGTAAATTTGAAATGGCGGTAGAGGACGACGTGTGTGTGTGTGTGTGTGTGTGTGTGTGTGTGTGTGTGTGTGTGTGTGTGTGTGTGTGTGTGTGTGTGTGTGTGTGTGTGTGTGTGTGTGGAGACAGACAGACAGACAGACAGACAGACAGAAAAGATAGAGAGAAAAACGAAGAGCCAGGGAAACTGATAAAAGAAAAAAAAGAAGAAAGGAAAGAAAGAAAGAAAAGAAAGAAAAGAAATTAAAAAGAAAGAAAAAAAAAAAAAGAAATAGAGGAGGTTAGAGGAGGATGAATCTTTAATGAAAACAAAACATGTACGGAGAAAATCAAAAGAAAGAAAGAAAGAAAGAAAGAAAGAAAGAAAGAAAGAAAGAAAGAAAGAAAGAAAGAAAGAAAGAAAGAAAGAGATAGAGGAGGAGTGAGAGGATGAATGAAGCGAGGAATGAAAACAAAACATGTACGGAGAAAAATCACAAGAAAGAAAGAAAGAAAGAAAGAAAGAAAGAAAGAGAGAGAGAGAGAAAGAAAGAAAGAAAAGAAAGAAAGAAAGAAAAGAAAGAAAAAAGAAAAGAAAGAAAGAAAGAAAGAAAGAAAGAAGGAGGAAAAAGAGGATGAATGAAGCGAAGAATGAAAACAAAATTGAACGGAGAAAAATCACAAGAAAGAAAAAAAAAAAAGAAAGAAAGAAAGAAAGAAAGAAAGAAAAAAGAAAGAAAGAAATAGAGGAAAAGAGGATGAAATAAAGGAGGAATGAAAACAAAGACATGTACGGAAAAATGAAAGAAAAAAAAGAAAGAAAGAAAGAAAGAAAGAAGAAAAGAAAGAAAGAAAAAAAGAAAGAAGGACGCCACCATATGAACATAAAGCCTCTTGAAAGAATGTGAAGTTTAAGCTCATCATAGAAATTCAGCATAAATAATGGATCGTTCCATTTTGATTGCGATGAGAAAAAAAGAAAAGTCATATCAGAAAAGCTTTTAAAGTCAAAAGAAAGAAAGAAAGAAAGAAAGAAAGAAAGAACGAAAGAAAGAAAGAAAAAAGGCGTTGACATTTCATGGGTACTTCTAGTCGTTTTAAATGGAAAGAAAGAAAAACAAGCAAATGAAAAATCGAATGAACAACTTAAATGAAATCGAGAAGTGAGGGAGAGAATTAAACGAGAAATAAAAGCGAGAAGATAATAATATCGAAGAAAAAGAGGAAAAATAGAAGAAAAGGGAAAAATTGAATGAAAATTAAAGAAAATGGAAGAAAAAGAAGAAAATGTAAGAAGAAGAAAAGAAGATTCTGACGAGCTACCTTCCATATGTGCACCAGTTCAGACCTTTACATCTAAGAGCCTCAGTGACATATACAGTGTGATGAATTATTGGTGATTAATTATTTTCAACTCTACAGCCACTTTCGATTATCAAGCATCTTGACATTCTATATAAATTTCCACGGCAAATGTTCTAACGAGGTATATTCCCTAGTTCCACCAGTTCAGACCTTTACATCTAAGACCCTCGATGCCATATACAGTTTGATGAATTATTGGTGATTAATGGGGAAAACTTTATAATTCCCTTTCGTTAAAAAGCCTCTTGACATTCTATCGCTATTTCCATGGCAAATGTTCTAACGAGGTATATTCCCTAGTTCCACCAGTTCAGACCTTTACATCTCTCAAACCCGTGATATCGTGTCCTCAGTTTTGAATTACCCGCATTTTCATCGTATTTAGTTCATAAGAAAGAATTTTCATTCGAACAGCTTCTTCCCAAGAATAGCTGCTTTGTGGAACAGGCTCCTGAGTGGATACTTCCCCCAATTACTCTAATCCTAACCCCTTCAATTTTAGGGTAAACTGTTATCTATCCTGCATATGCTCATAATCTGCACTTCTTATCTCCTCGACGTACGTTATTAAAGTTCCCTGATTCAGTAATACTCTACGCTGAGTGGCTCTTGGGGTATTTTGGCGGGGGTCTAGTTTGAACTTGGTTGATTTCAACTAAGATCACAAGGATTGAGATTGTTTTGAGAGAATAAAACTAAACTGAAGTGATGGAAACATTTCACATGCTCCGTCTCCCTTCACGTTGGTGATCATTGCTCTCCACGACTTCCTGTCCTTTGTAACTCTCAATAAATTTTGTCTTTTCGCTATCTCCCCCAGACACTGCTCCGCCATCCATTCATTCAAACTTGCCAGGTATGTTTGCGTTGTTTTCCTGTCTCTTTTGCCTTCAATCTCTCTTTTGAGTATCAAAATTTCCAAGCCTTCTTTCCTCATGTACTCTAGAAATTTCAACTTTCTCTTCCTGCTGTTAAATATAAGTGTTCTTATTGTTTCCATTTTCTCTAAAACTTTGTCGTTGCTCACACGTTCGGTCCATAGTAATCTCAGCATCCTTCTGTAGAACCACATTTCTGTTGCTTCAAGTCTCTTCTTCATCTGTGAGGAGATTGTCCAGCATTCACTACCATAATTTTTCAATACTTACGTAAAATACACATAAACGTTTATATTTTAATATTGTTCTTGTTCAGAGAAGGTACATTTTGTATCGATTTTTACCCTTTTAAAATGATTTTATATATATATATACAAACTAGAATTTAAGACAATTTGATCTCAGAATGATTTGAAGGAACAAATAATCATGATTATACCAGGAATTTCAATTTCAGTGACACGTGAAAACTACGGCTGTACACAGGTGATGCAAGGATAGGATCGCTACTTGCTGACAAGGATGGTAACGACCCAACAAAGGGGAACATTGAATTAAACGCACTACGAGGGTCGTTTACAAAGTTCTATATATCATACAGAAAGAAGATATAAGCTAAAACTTTTCTTGCGGCGACACCCTACCATTTCTTTTAAAATTAATTCAGATTTTTGTCTTAATTTCTGTGCAGGTGACGTCCATACAAAGGTGAGAGGTGTGCAACAAATCTAAAAATGGACAACGAAAAAAGAGGCCTGAAAGTCAAATTGTATCTGTAAAAAGGAAGGTATGACCCCCAAGGAAATCCATGAAGACATGATACAGACACTTATTGAGGACTCCCCTTCCTATGCAACTGTGATGAAGTGAGCTGCGGAATTCAAGCCGGACAGGGACAGCACAGAAGAAGGCGCTCGGTCAGGTCGTCCAAAAACAAGATGATGCCATTCACCGAATAGTTTTGGTTGACAGACGTCTTACTGTCCCGTTATCAGTTCTGGTTCGGTCCATACTGTTTTAACTCGAGTCTTGGGGATGAGCAATCTGTTTGTAAGATGACACCAGAGCAGAAGCTGAAAAGTTGTTGATATTTACAGGGTACTTCTGACTGCTTTCAGGCTGATCCTGAGAATTTCCACCGCAGACTAGTAACTGAAGATGAAACCTGGGTTCACCACTTTGAACTTGAATAAAAGATTCAAAGCAAATAGTGGATACTCTCTGGTTCTATTTTTACTAAGAAGTTCATACAGGCAGCGTCTGTTGGCAAGATGATGACTTTTGGGCTGATTCTTTATAGATAATCATGATAGACTACTTTGAAAATTATTAATGGACAGTGCTTGCTTTATCAAAAAAGACAACTGAAGGAAGCAATCAAAAAAAAAAACAGTAAAGTTGAAGGCAGATGTACTCTTGCTCCACCGTGCCTCCTGAGCAATCATATATTATCAAAAAAATTTCAAAATAAACCCAAGTAAAAACCTGAAGATATGGTACGGTCAAATATTTTTTGAAATTTCTCCTTCCTATTAACAACAGTGAATAAACATGGGCTGCCGAATTCAAGCGGGATAGATACATGTTTTCAGAAGAGGACCGTGGTCAGGTCGTCTAAAAAAATGTCACTAATGAACAAATTGATCCCTATCACCATATGGTTTTGGATGACAGACGTCTTACTGCTGTTCAGCAGATAACTAAGTCCATGGACTTTAGTTCTGGTTTAATTTCATACTGTTTTGAATGAAATCTTAAAGATGAGCAAGCTGTATGTACAATATATACGAATAAAATGATGCCAGAACATAGCTGGAAACAATGACATTTCGAGGACACTTCTGACTCGCTTCCAGGATGACCTTGAGAATTTACACCACTTCGAACTTGAATCAAATTTTCAAAGCAAACAGTGGAAACACTCTGGTTCTCCACTCCCGAAGTAGTTCAAGCGTTGGCTTCTGTTTTTTTTTTTTGTTTTTTGTTTTTTTTTTGTGGGGTGAATGCGTAATCGAGATATACTACATGAAAAAAAAAATCTAAACAAAAGTACTATACATCAGAATTAAGACAAACGAAGTCAACAAATAAATGCATAGGAATAAGGAGGCGTGCTCTTGCACCAAGATAACGAGCCTGTTGATTTGCTCAGGTTCAGTAGCTAAGCAGCCAACTATTGGCTTTTTAATTGCTAAACATCCTCTTGTTCAATAGTTAGCTCCATCTGACTTTCCTCTTCTTAAAACTCAAATCTATTCTTGCCGCCATTTTGGAATAACGGTGTGCTGTGGAGATGTTTTTATTTCGTGATGGGAATGAATTAAATTGTGTCAAAGGGAACTATATTGAAGAATAGTGAAATTTTCTCCAACTCCTTTATTATCTTATAACTTTTTGAAATATTTTCTGTTTCCATTTTTCATACAAATGGACTCGACCAGTGTGTACTTGGACTTGCCGTTAAAAAAACAGTCAGAGGAAGATTTGAGATTGATTAATAGTATATATGCATGTAGTTATATATATATATATTTATATATATATATATATATATATATATATATATATATATATATATATATATATATATATATATATATAGGTTTATATATATATATATATAAACGGATCGTCAGGGAAAGTTATTTTCCGTTTAAAGACGATAAAGGTAGGTTTGTCTGGCTCACTAGGTGTATCTAGGTCTGCTCTACGGTTGTATTGAGCTCTTTTGTTAGTTAGTTGTTACTCGTATCGGGTTTTTTTTCTTTGGGCTTCAGACCTGCATCTGTGCGATTTTTTTGTCGGCAGAAGTTCATGTTTGTAGCTCTTTCTTTTTTAAAACCTTTTTTTCCCTCGAGATTGATTTGATTAGCAAATCAAAAATTCGAGGGTTTTTCGAAACGAGTCTAGTTATCTATATTTATATGTATATATATATATATATATATATATATATATATATATATCTATATATAATACGTTTCTGGATTATTAACCGTAGACAATTCTTATTATTGTGTAAATACATTTATTTGTTATATTTCATTCCTGCGTTTGTCATTCATTGGAGACCGGATTTCATCTCGGAATCCACAACACCTTCGTATACAGAAGAGACTACATTATATGTAGTTTCGTCGTCATTATTTTGTCTGGGCCGTAAGAGCATATAGCTCTACATTGCCTCGTCAGGTGAGTACATGAGGTTCCAGCTTGTCATCTACTTGCACTGTAGTAGTGTTGAATCTGTTTTGACATGTATAACATACACAGATTTTATGACAGACAATTTAGAGCTCATTATATTTGCCAGGCAACGAATCCAGCAGCTTGTAGAATCCCTACGTCATCGTGAGACCATCGTCAATCTAGCGAAGGGTTAAAATTACACATTATCAAGTGGCTGCCATTATTTATTTATTGGAATTCAGTTTATTGCAGTAGCTCGTCAGAACATTCGTGGATCGTAGCACGTCATTGGAACGAGGAACAACAACAATTAAGAGATGGTCCCACGCTCCTCAAAACCTCCACCCGCACAATCAGAAAATGAAATCTACTAAAAAATGTATAGCCATGGTCTTTTGTATCGGTTGAAAATGTGCAATAGGTCTGAAATATAACATTGAAAAAATTGAAGAAATTATTATTCTATTTTAAATCCGTTTTTATATATATATATATATATATATAGATATATATATATATATATATATATATATGTATATAAATGCTCTGTGTTATTAGAACAAATATATATATATTCAAAACTGTAATCAGGATTTTAACGTTAAAAAATTTAACGTTTCATTAGTTAGGAAAAAAAAATAATTTAAATTTTAGCATTTGATTTTTTGGATTTTGGTTATTATTTTTATATAGATGTAAGTTCAGCCTATCAGTTTATCAACGTAAATATAATATCATGGAATATGTTTTAAATTTTAAATTAATGTTTTCAGGATGAATGAAATAATCTCGCGTTTCGTCCAACAAAAACTTTTTTTATTCAAAATGATGAATTTAATTAAAAAAAAGTAACTAATAATCAACAAAAATAGAATGTTTTAGCAACTGGAGGAATGTC